AACCATATGTGTGTCTGCAAATACGTGCATGCATGCAGACATGCATGTGTACCTACCTGCCTGCCTGCCTGCCTGCCTGCCTGCCTACCTACCTACCTACCTACCTACCTACCTACCTACCTACATACCCATACATGCATATATGCATACATGCATACATGCATACATGCATACATGCATACATGCATAAATGCATACATACATACATACATACACACATACATACATGCATGTATATATACATATACATATTTTGTTATCTCGCACACATATTTTGTGTAAAACAGATCTGCATGCAGCAGGGCCTAAGCAGTATGAAGCTTTCGTGTGCACCAAGGAGGTGCTTGAAGTGTGCGACTGAGCATCCACTCTATGATCTGCAACGCAACTCGCAGCTACAAGAAGGTGACAAATGAACTCATCGTGAGGTGAAACATGAGCCCGACTCGCGCGACAACAAGGCTGGGCCCCACAGCGGCAATCGAAGTGCCGAAGCCTTCCGAGACACTGCAGGGCTGGGTGGCTTCCTGCCGCTGTTGGGGCCGTCAGAAACAGGCAGTCAGCGAGGTCAGCGAGCTGGCGGCACTGAAGGCAACCAAGTTGAAGCTATGTTTTAGAAGGGCTGGGTGAGATGCTGTGAGCGCGCTGTTGCCTGCAAGGCAGAGTCCGAACAACTCGCACGTCTTTCAGGGTTGAGGACGAAGGACATGGAGGAGCGTTTCGCAGCAGAGCAAAATTAACCTCCCACAAATACTGTGTAATCTGTCGGACTGTCCAAGACATCTTTCAGACTCCATGTTTGGCGCCACATCGAGGTCGAGCGCTTCCGGCGATTCTTGATCGTCCACAGTCTGTGGCCAAAACGAGGCCACGCGCAAGAAAAAGCCATCTTCGTGTCCCGCCGCACATGGCACAACGCTGGTTTCGGGGTGACATGCTCAGGCTGTCTGACATTGGACACTCCCAGGGGCGTGCTTGAGGCAACCAGGTGCACGGATGTTGGGAGAGCTTTGTCCGGTTCTGGCAATTTTAGATTGTGTGGAGTAGATAGTAGATGATGTGCAGAGAGCAGGCCCTTTCGTGCCTTTCTGCTGGACGTAGCATCTTCGGCTCCATTTCATTGAACGTCTAGGGCCCAAAGGCAATGCGCAGCCAAGCAGGATAATCAGCGGCATCGAAGTCTAATCTGAGGACCCTGGCGAGCGTGCTGTGGGGCTAGAGAAGCTTCTGATGGAGCGCGGGGTGCCCAGAGCGCCTCTAAGTTTTTGTCGATTGGAATAGTTCAAGTGACTGGCAGGTTTTGGCGACATGGCGCAGTTTGTCCAGGCACTTTCGGAGACGACAGTGCTGCAGACTTGAAGGTGCTACTTAGTGATCGCACTTGGTTTGAAGACGTTGGAGGCAAGTTGCAAGATGTGTCGGGTCCGCACGAATGAGCAGTTGGGCATCGCGAATCGAGCGTGGGCCTAGCTTTCGTCAACAGGGAACATAGGCCGTGTCCATGTATCATTCAGCAGCATGCACGACGAGCAAAAGCTGAGCAGACTGCAGCCAAGAGCCGGGACGAGAACATGTTTGCTTCCGACTAGGCATCTGTGCTCCGAAGCAGCGACGGGACACGAAACTTGAGTGCCTCGGGCAGCAGAGCCACATGCAGCAAAGCTGCCAATGCGACTGGCTGACGGTGATGCTTTAAACTACGGATAGGCCTTCAGGACGTGAAGAGGTACGCAGCTCAGAAATCGATAACAGCAGTTTCACACGCGGCTAGGTGCGCGTCACCTTGAGAGCTGTACCATGCCCCGCCCTAGTATGATCCTACATTTTGTCCTGTGAAAACACGAGCGACGACTTCTTCACACAAGCGGACAGTTAGAAGGTGTCTATACAATCGGGTTCTCTTGCAACTGCCAAGGCGCTCATGTCTTCCAAGAATTGGGTATTGCCGACACAGTGAACCTTGGCTATTTATTTACCATCAAGATCGACAGAGAGATACTTACCAAGCGTTCATGTCGCACAGAGCCACACAATTTGTAGCACGTGTCAGAAGCCTGCAAATACGGGTGGCGTGACCTTCAAATTGACGGACTAGATTGATGACTCAAAGCCGTCTGAGCAAAACGTCACCGGCCACATTCTGCGCCACACTCCCTCTCTCTCTCGTTGTATTGCTGCCCTGTTATGCCCTGTTGCACGTGTGCTTGACAGTTGAGATTTGTCGAGTGTCGACCTGTCTGGAACGGCTGTCTGTGGCTGCTCAGGCTTCAGGCTGAATTCCTTCGATGGTTTCAGGATCATGAACGCGTCGCCGACGTCGCGCGGGACCTACGACGCTTCGGATGGCTGTGGCTGTCACAACTTTGTGGGCATCATTTGCAAAGAGAGCTCGACGGATTTGTTCAGCAGTCACGTGCCCCATTCTGCAGTAGCATTGGCGACGCTCGCTAGAGCCGATAGCACCCCCGGCAGCTCCATCAACTCTTTCGTCTCGATAAAGTAGCTGCCGTCGGGTGACTTTCCATCAACATCCTTGTCTGAGGTTTTTCCGATGCCAGCCGAAGCCGGTGCAGGTGGAACCTTCATCGCTGGATCTGTTTCGAAAGAAAGTAGAGCGTGTGGAGGCTTTCTTCGGCCGCCCTCCGAGCCCATCCTTCCCGCCTCGCAGACCGACCTTCCGAAAGAGCCTCGTCGTCTTGTGTTTTTGGGCAGTGTTGGGGCCGTAGCGTTACGCGTATAAGCAGCTGCGAACGTTGCCTGTGGGAGCGATGAAAGACGGTTGTACAAGTAGTGCGGGTGCTTGAGGTATGTTTGGTGGAACTACCAGCAGAATAGCTTGCACCGATAATGTTGTCAGCATGCGTTTTTTCGTTCAGAGTAATCACGACTTGTTTCTTTGATATTCGAAGGGGTTTTAACGGACAGACGGAGCACGAACTAAATTGAATCAATGGGCCAGGCAGCCCAGCACCGTCATTTCAATCGGTCCCTTGTGGTTTCGCCCCTGCCGGTGCGAGTTATGTGCAGGTCTGTATGCAGTCGTTGGATGCAAGGATGCTCGATAGATTGGGCTTCTGTCCAAAGCAACAGGAGAGATCGTGGGAACGACCTGCAGATCTTCGAGAGATGCCGTTTGAAGACTGGCTGGCAGCTTGCAGCAGATTATGTGATGTTCACGGCTTCGGCAATTGCTGCGTTGGAAGTTGTGGCAAAGCTCCAGAGGTTTCGGCTTGGGGCTGTTGGGGAGGATCGCTGGATTGCTCGGACACCTTGCATGGGCTAGAACCAGCGATCCTCATTCCAGTGACGAGCATGAAATCACTAGAAGTTCGAAGCGATTCGCCAGTGATGGGACGTGATGGGAAGGTGTGGATTGACGCTTCTGGCGAATTGCTGAGTTACTTGCCGACTGTGCAAGAAAGCTTCTCATCTGCAAGAGATGAACGATATAATATAACGAATCTCTTGGAAGAGCGACCTCCCTCCAACATGTTTTCTTCGTGAGCGCCACCTATCTGTTCGTGCTGCAAAGATCCGAGGCTATGACACAGTTGCACAGATCGCTCAGACCTACACTTCGGTGGATTCTCGGACGTGCTCAGACATGTAATTGTTAATGGGGCAGGTGCACATTCTGGCATGCTGCTTAGCCAGTTGGGTAACATGTCTTTCTGCCTGGCACAAGCTATTCGTAGCTCCACTCAATGCAAAGACAATGTCTTGACCCATTCATTTTTCTGCAGATTGTGTTGCATGAGCCGTCTAGACAGGTGAGTACAGCTGTAAGGATGGTGTCCCGCCAGAGCCGAGGACAAAGCTACCAAGCAGAAAGTGTTGGATCCGTTGCTTTTCGAGGACCTTGCCATCACCGAAGCTCATAGGCCTGCCAGTTTGTGCCGTCACGGATCATCTACAGGCGCCTAGCCTGTATCAGACTCATGGAAGGCCGCTCTTCAAGCAGTGGTTCGTGGAAGTCTGCGGAGTGATGATCTGATGGGGAACCTCTTTGAGGACGGGAGAGGTTGAGCTTTGGAGCACTTTGCGCAGTACCTCGGCAGTAATGCAGCTTTAATACGAACCTTCAGAGGCAGTCACTTGCGCCTGATTCTGGACCGTTGGACTGCTGCTGCCGTTGCCGCTGCCTGCTACCTGCTGACTCAAGGACGGCTGAATCCAGTCGATGCCGGAGACCTTGAACCAAACCCAGGACTCCATTGGTCCATGTTTAGGGTTCGCGCTTTAGGGCTCTGCCCTGCACGAGCCCTGTGCAGCCTGAAAGCCCTGCACCTGGAGCTCTAAATCCGACCCTAAACCCTTAACCCGATGCTGCTAAGCGTTTCGACCCGTTTATTAGAGGAGAAGTGCTGGTGGCACCGATGTTTGGCCTTCAGGTGCCCTTTGCCTTTCAGAAGTGATGAAGCGCACTAAGCAGTTTTGTAGTGTTTAAGGGTCTCGACTGACTAACCAGATGGGGAGCAACAATAACAAATTATGCATGTGTTCTGAGCTTGCTTGCATGAAACCGGCCAGCAGCAAGATCTCTTAGGCTTAGACCCTAGAGGGACAGACCGAAAGCTTCCGGAGCTCCTTGCTTTTCCGGCTTGGGGCACTGTGAGCTGGTCAACTCATCCCTGGGGCTTCTCAGCAGCGCCGCCTGCAGGACCTCCAACCCAAAGGCGCAAGCACCTCGATCGACATGGACGATTCGACACCCAGATTATGCTCCAACATGCACTCAAATGCCTTGCGAGCCGGTTCTGGTGCTGGACAGCGGAGAAAAGCTACCTGCAGCCTGTGTTGGCAGTTTTGCCCTTGTCTCCTGAGATCAGCATATTCACACTTTGTCACACTGCGCTCCGTCAGCGTAAGTATGGTCGCGGGTTCGATCCTGTGCGGGACTGTGTTGCGGCTGACGATGCAATGACTGTGCGTCACGCCTGCCTTTTCGAAGTATTCCAATTGGGGCTGGGTTCAGCATCATGTGCTGTCAAGGCCGCATCTTGTCTTTAGCCACAGGAGAAGGCATTTCTCGTGGCGGGCTCCCGATCGTGCTCGGGGACGGAAGTGGAGTGGCAAGCCTTCCAGAAGGGGTGTTAAATGCAGTGCACTTGAAGCATGTTTGTGCCCGCATTCGTCAGAACTGCGGTCGTTCCCGTGGCCCCACTTCAGGCAAGAATGCAGAGACATGCCGACATGCAATCATTGCGTTCCTCAGAACTGCGAGCCCAAACCCAAGTTGAATGAGTTGCGGAGATGTGATTGGGGTGCAGCGATGTAGTGTGCGAGCCGAACAAGCCTTGAGCATATCCGTTGAGGTTCGCTCAGTGGAGCAAATGGTACGATGCCGGCGGACAGCTGGCTCGTGTACTTAGTGCTTTGCGCCCGCTCTGGACCTGCAACCTGCTAACGCACTTGCAGGATGTACTGGCCTGTGCTTTCGTCATAGGCCAGCTGCCTAGAGCGGACTAGTCCAGGAGTGGCGCTTAGGTTTGTGTTGTCTTGTTCTTTTCAGTGCTCTCAGGGCACTTGCCCAGCCGAACAACGAGTGTGGACGACCTTGCAGCGGAGTTCAGGACGTCGGCGAAGATGTGAGTTGCTGAGTCGCAGCGCATCACAGTTGCAGGAAGACACGAAGCCGTGCTTCAAAACAGAGTGTGGGGGCCGCAGAAACGTCTGACCTCTGCGACTGTGATTGCGCTTTGTTTCTTGTGGGATATAGCTTCAGACTTTTGCCGGCGTGTGCTGGCGATTTTTTGAGCTAGAACAACCAGAACTTCACATCCATGCTAAGCGGAGTCGGTACATGCACATATCTAGTCTTTGCAAGTTCTGCGGAAAAGGTGCTAATGGCATCGATACATGCAAACGAGTCGTCGCGTCAATTGCTTCGGGCTTCGCTGTGGATTTTGGGGCGCACACCGTCGCGAGGCTCACGGAAGCCTGAACAGGATGCGATGTTCGGCTCTTGGTCTGAGCCGCAAGCTCAGCCTCTACTTTCGCTGCGACGAGGTCCGCCACACACCGTGCGCCGAAATAGATCCAATGCATTGTCTAAAACTTTTCTGGGATAGCAGAAGACATGCTCTACTGCAGCTTCTGCGACTCTACTTCGACTCAGTGTCCACTTGTCCGTATGAAGCTTCTCGTTGGCTGGAGTTGCAACAAGATAGATGTGGAAGCAACCTTGTCGCTGGCCGCTAGAACATAGCCATACTGCGTTACTGATTCAAACCGAGAAGCAAGACCACGAATGCATGGAATTCGACGGCAATAAGGCAAGGAGAGACGAAGCCGCAACATAACGAAAGAGACTTAACGACCAGCGATCATAATTCGCAGTGCTTGAAGTATTTAGGTAGGTAGCCACGTTTCGGTGCATTTCCCACCGGCAAAGTCGGATGAGTCGACAGACATTGCGTGGGAACCGCGGATGCATCGCGAGGAGGTCAAACTGCATGTCGTTTTTGTCAAGTGATGTGCAAGCTCCAGCAATCGGGCTGCAAGAGCTGTCGCTGGAACTGGATCGTTTCCTGGCTTTGTTTGCAAGCTGTTTGGAAGGAAATCGGTTGATTCATCGGGAATAAGTCGATACTGCGCCGGGGCCGATAGTTCGACCCACTAGCTTCAACAACGAAGTCGATCCATGCCCCTACCCTCTTCCCCTTGGACTCCTGGACACAAAAGTGCCTTTGGGCCTCCTCCGCAATGATATAACTATTACAAGTTAAAAAACGGTGTAGTAATTACTCCGCTAGCCGGCCTAAGGAATTCGTCACTTTCAAGCACTCCGCTACTCCGCAAGACTCCTGAACATGATATGTTTTTCAGAAGGGCACGCCGACCAACTGGTTCTAACTCAGATGCCCATGGCAGAGCAGTCAAGACAGTTTAGCAGGTGTCCCTACTCGCGTTCTTTGTCTCCGTGATCATCAACAGGATAAAAGTTTTGTCGCATTATCATGTCTTAGCTTGGCGGAGGATTCGGAGTGCAAGCAAGTGCATTTTACGTGGCCTGGCCCGCGGAAGAATTTCTACACTGGAATAAACATGTATTACCTTTTGGTTCAAACGAAGAATTGCTGACGCTCAACAGATCTCATGAAGGAGTCTAGGGGGGCAGGGATTTACAAGTATATGTTAACAGAACTGCTCGATGCGACGAACTTGCGTCCTGGCGCAACATGAGTTACAACTTCGATAGTTGTGGCGAGTCACTTCTGTGACCAAAACGGATGCTACCTTCTGTACTCGTTTTCTTAGAAGGGCACGCCTGTCTGGGGGACCAATTGGTTTCAACTCAGATGCCCGTGGCAGACAGTTTAGCAGGTGTCCCTACTCGTGTAGCATCAGCAGGATGAAAGTTTTGTGCACTATGCTTGGCGAGAGCAAGGAACTACATATCTTACATATCTTAAGCCTGCCCCCTCACCCTCAGCCTTTTTGGGTGAGTGCAGTTGATCCCATATATCAATGCCTCATTAGGCGAGTGCATTGATCTCATATCTTAACAATCCTGCCTCCCACTAGGTGATGGCGGTTGATCCCAAATCCTTGCGTATCTTGAACCTGCCCCACACCAAGCGATGACGGTTGGTTCCATATTTTAATCTTGCTCCGAAATAGATTGAAGGCAAATATAGCCTCGCTTCAAGCAAGATGGTGTTGAGGGTACAGGTTATTCTCACACCCCTCAGTGTAAAGTCTAAGTTCCACTTGCCACACTCAAGACATGGACCTTAAACCGCAAGTTCTACACACGCAGGTTTACAAACCCAACACCTCTCCAATCGCCCGAGTTCACCATCAAGCTTTCAGCAATTCAATGCTTCAGTGAAACATAGTGAAACATTTCGTGCTCCGAAATTTCAATTTCGAAGCGCTCGAACTCTCAGTTTTCAACGAGCTCAAGCCATTATTTTATACATCGTTCGACTTCTCGAATTTTTAAGTTCGAGACTGCGAAGCGCGCTTCAAACTTTCACATTGGATTCCCGTTCAAACGCTCAAACAACAAACTGGCGTTTGCTTTCGGACTCGAAGATTTCGAACTTCAATTTTTCCATGTCCAAAATTCCAAGGTTTTAAACTCCACAAGTTTGATGTACGTCTGATAGGTTCAAACTTTCAGGAATCCGAGTTCGAAAGCCCTGCTCGTGACACCAATCGCGTACATATATCAGCGCTGTATGGCCTCACGTGCGGAAGTGACAGAATGCTCCCTTGGAGGGGTGCTCCTGTGGAGCGAAATGGTTTTCACGCGTGCCTGCTACTATTACTACTACTACTACTACTGCTGCTGCTGCTGCTGCTGCTGCAATACTACTACTACTACTACTACTACTACTACTACTACCTGGTCTGCTATCAATACTGCTGATACTGCTACTCCTACTACTACTACTACTACTACTACTACTACTCCCTGGTCTGCTATCACTACTGCGGATACTGCTACTCCTACTCCTACATACTCCTAGTCCTACTGCTACTCGTACTGCTGCTACTTTTTCTGCTGCTCTTACTGCTGCTGCTGCTACCCTTACTGCTATTGCTACCACCACCACGACGACGACGACGACCCGTAGCCGTCGTCACCGCAGCAGCAGCCGCAGTCCTGGTTGTAGTGGGTTGGTCGTGAGCACAGCAAGTAATTATGGCGTTTAGGACCGACTCGATTCAAAAAGTCTTGGATGGCGTGCCACTTGTATCCTGACCACATACATCCACACGCCATCAACCGTGACTACTGGTGTGACGACGGCAAAGAAACTTGTCACTTGTATGCTGACAACGAACATCCGCATACAATCGCCGTCAACAAAACACCATCCGAGTAGTGTGGTGGTCAGCATTTTTCCCTTGGCCTGAGGATCGAGATGAAGTGAAACCCCAAGCAGGTGTGACTACTGGTGTGACGACGGTTTCTGCATTCTTTCCTAGTCTCGAGTCTGCGTTCCAGAGCTTGTGCGAAAAGCGGTGCGCTGCGAAGCACAACTCATTCCAAGCTTTTCGGTTGGCATCGGTCACCAGAAGGCCTACAGACAAAAGTGGCAAGCGTTGGCTGACTGGTTGGGTTAAGCATGCGTTCCACATCCTCAACACCAAGAGGAGAAGCCAGAAATGGTCTAGTAAGGCATTCAAACAGTGCACTCTGCTTGGAGACAGTTGGAGTTCCAATGGTGCATTACGGTGTCCGGGCCATTGCAGTATTTAAAAACATTTCAGTTTGCAGGATCATTGTTCGCGGCATCGCCGTTGGAATTCGGAGAACTGCTGAGGTGGGGCTTGTGCGATTCCGGCCAGAGGCTGCAGCCTGAGAGTAGTGCCGGTCTCCACTGCTACTAAGTCCCTTAAAACCTTCAGGCTGAGGAACCTGTCTGCTGACTGCATTCCTGCCATTTCTCTCCACCGTCCATGGCATATCGCTACGGGAATCTCGTCGTCAGGTAAGCTTAGCTAAGCAGTTTTGCATGCTTGCTTATGGACAGCCGTAGCATAGCGAGTCTTCAGTACATGGCGAGTTTGGTCGAATTGGAAGGGACCGCCACCGTGAAGTGGCGACGCAAGCGGCCCACGGAGGGTGCGACCACGGCATTGCAAGATCGTGTGACCTGACGTTCTGCAAAATGCAATGTTAGGACATGCATGACTGCATGACTGTTTCTCTCACTCGCTCCGGCGTTCCTCGCTGCAAGTAACACTGCAGGTCTCTTTGGGAACCTGCCCGTCTTCTAATTGTTCATCCCTCCATGAAATTGTCCATGCCACTGCATGTATTTCGCATGCATGCACATGCATGTAATCGTCGGCTGGATTCGCATGACGCTGTGGGAATGTACTGACTATACATCATTCTTGATGCGTTCTCATGTTACACACTCCCTGATACATGCACACGCACACAAACAGGTAGGTAGTTAGGTGCACGAACTACGCAGGCATGCTAGATACATTGATAGCAAGAGATGTAAGTATGAGCATGAACACACATATGTACATACACATGCATACCGGCCAAAGAACTGTGTGTACAAAACTGTGTTTGCTTCTTTGTGCTGTTGAGTCTGAAGCACACACTAACCAACCACTCACCCACCATCCCACATACCAACACTCCCACAAGAGAGGCCGACACATGCAGACAGGTACACACGAAACACACACACACACACACACACAAGTGCCGTCCGCATATGTCCGCGTCTCGGTTTCCCAATGGAGTTGTGCTCATGTTTGCAGGCGCTCCGTGGAAGGCCCGCTGCGCGAGGTCCACTTGAGCAAAGCCGATATACAGCCCTGCAGCGCGGGGATGGGTTTTCAATGCGACTTCCAGGAATGCGAACTCTCTCTCCTGAGCCGACTGTGGTTTCATCTGACATTGGCACACGTGCGGCAGGTTCAGCCGTGTGGCCAGGCTCAGCTTGGGAGATCTTGCGAGTGGACACTCAGCCTCAGCATGCTCATGTAGGCTTGTGTAAAACTAAGAAGGCTTGACCAGCATGTTTGAGCAACGCATCTCTCCTGTCCCTAGAGTTTGCGTCCTTTCCAGTTTCAAACTAACGTTTGCCGAAGTCGTTGGAAGTCTGTTCGCCAGTTGTGTCGTTTCATGTCCTGCACACTTGCAATCATTGCCGTGTTTGTTCAGGGCCATGTCGTCGACTGCGAGATGAACCAGTGGAATGTCGAATGCCCAGAGTGACATACTCGTAGCCGCAAGCGAGCAGATGAGCTGTCAGCAGCCAAGGCCTGGACGACCTGCAGTTGCACCTGCGGTCAGGGATGGTCACGGGCTTGAACTCTCGAAGTGAGCACCGGCGAGACTCGGATTGCCTCTAAGGCATACCAGAGATCGCCGCATCATTCGCTTCTCAGCCAATGGAGGGCGGCTTGTGCGGAACTAGAGCTGGCTTTAGTGTGGGTCATGTGGTTACCCGGCCTGTGACCTGTGGGCGACGTCATTCCATGCTTTTGCACTGCAGCTCGAGCGACAGACAGGAAGACAAACGGCTGTCAGAACGACACGTGAATACCATGACATCGCTGGTGGAAATGGGTAGAAAGCTGCTCAAGCGAGCGATGCAAGCGAAGCGATGCCAGGAAGCCTTGCGTTGGATCCACTCGCGAGGAACACCCATGTGAGTAACCCAGCACGCCTTGTTTGCTCTGCACCGAGAGGTTGTGAATCCGGCACTGACAATGCTGCTGACCGAGGCAACGAACAGCCATGCAATGGTCTGCAGCCTGCTTAATGCTTTCAGCGTAGAGAGGCGTTAGTTCATGCTGGAAGGACGGGCCACCTGCGCTCATAGCGGCAAATGTCAGCAATATCTAAGGGCTTGTCAGTTCAGCCCATGGTCCAGCTGGGCCTCGGCCTGAGCTGCCGCGCGATTGCTTCGGAAGCATAGACCAGACTAACCAGTGGTTTAGTGAAGTTTAGTGGCTTTGGATTGAGGCTGGATGTGATGGATACCGCCCATTTCAACGAGATCGCCACCGACGGGCAGCTCTTCCTAATGAAGTTAGCAGCAATCAAGAACGAGACATCCAAAGTCATGTCAAGTGTCGAGTGCTTTTCGGTACCGTGCCGTGACTGCCGTGACATCTCCGTCACCCAAATGACTAGATATGATTTGTCCGAACTGGCAAATTATGTTATAGGTGCATGCGGAGCAAGGGACTTTAGCAAGCTTCGGCTGAGAAGCCTGCATTCAGAAGGGTTGCATTCCGTGTTGGTTTGCAAGATGTTTTCCAGACTGTGGGGCCCGCCTGCTGAAGGTGAGGCTTAAGGTGAGGCAAGCTTGTCGTGGCTGTTTGTGACGAATGTCCAACACTCCATCGGAAATTACCAAAACCACCTTATTTAGCCGTGCCTGCGTACTGTACACGAAGCTTACAGACAGTCTTGGTGGTGTTCGACACTTTCACAGGTTGAGCAACCGGGTTCCAACGGTGCCGGCTGCAGTGGGACGACTCACGAGTCACAGCCTGAAAGCTTCCTGTGTTTAGATACCATTGCTAGCACTGAGTGAAGCAAGCGTTGCGAAGACGGCTGCCCACTGATACAGTCTGATTAACTGGCTGTCGCCAGGATGGAGGGTTGCACCAGCCACGGTCCTTCTGACTGTGCCCGAAGCCTGGAAGCTTTCGGCAGTCCCAGCTGGTAGACGGCTTTTGAGATAGGTCAGCCGGAAAATGGCATGGCTCTCTTGGCAGTGGCGCACTCCTTCCAATCGAAGGTGTGAGGTTTTGAGAACTGATGTAAAGGAAGCCGGGCTCGAGGAACAGCAAACTCGCAACAGAAACTCGGCCCGCAGTGTAGCAGAAATATGCAGGGTTCTGGGTTTCTGTCAACCGTGCCAAAGCAAGAACATTGAACGAGATCTCTCATCTTCCGGAATGTTCCAGTGGCGGTGTGGGGTTCAGCTTGTGGGTTGTTGCTTGTTGTTGGATTTCTGTGATGTTTTGGTTTGAAGGTCTCCCTGTCGCTTTCTGGTCAGGTAGAGGCCTCCCGCGGTTTTTCTACTCGAGGTGGATGGTTCCTGTTACGGAGTTTCCTGGTTCCTCCTGGTTCCCGTCACAGCTTCCGGCCCTGGCTTCCGTTACTGCTTTTCCTGGCTCGGTTCCCACCTGACCCATGGCGAAGTGGCGAGAAGCCTTTTCGATGGGAAAAACAGACAAAGGTTTGGAACCTTAAGTTGACGCAGGCCTTAAAATCACTGCTTGCGGTTGCACCGCAAGCAGGTCACACCTCCGGTAGCAACGGAGCCTATCCTACAGCCCCGTTGCCCAGAGCCTGGCTTGTAATTGTGAGGTCATATCGCAGTGGGAGCAATGGTCATCATGCGCACTCGCCTCAGAAACGAAATGCGGGCTGCAGCAGTTTCGAGTCTTCGAAAAATGGGAAGCAGCCTTGAAGCACCCAACGGTGTTTGGGCCTGGAAGCTCGGTCACGCATGAGGTTGCTACGTAAACTCCTGATTTTACAAGGGGCTCAAAGACGGTAAGCTTCTCTTCTGAGGACAAGCATTGTGACGGAGGTCAGCAAGTTCGACATCGGAAATTGCGTGGTGCTGAGGTGCATTGTAAGAGGTGCCTTTTTTATGGGACCACGATGGACCACGGCTAGGAGATCTTGATCTTAGCTGTTAGCACCGAGTTTCAGCTTCAGGTCTGTTTCGCGCAAGGGCTGCACTGAAGGCAATCCCTCCCTCAAAGCGGCTTGATGACTATGCCATACCATACTATGTCCATCAACCAACCGCAAGACACAAGCCCGATTGTCTCACTCTGCTTTGCGATTAAGTCGCGGGTCAAACAACGTCACGGGAAAGTTGAAAGAGCTCGTTATAGCACTGTACCTTGCTGCTAGTCTCTAGCACGTTGTGGGGGAGGGTTCTTTAGAGGGTATTTGGCCTGTGTTGGGGCTCAATATGGTTGTTATTTGGGTCTTCCATTTGGTTCTTATTTGGTCCCTATTCGGTTCTTATTGGGTCCCTATTTGATTCTTATTTGGTCCCTATTCGGTTCTTATTGGGTCCCTATTTGGTTCTTATTTTGTCCCTATTTGGTTCGCATTTGGTCCCTATTTGGTTCTTATTCCGGCCCCTGGTTTGTCCCTAAATCCGAAAGCGCCCAAACTCGGCCCAAGTAAGAATCACATGAAGGCTCGAATCAGGCAGACATGGATGCCCAAACCAGCCCAAATGAAGACCCAAGTATAAAGCCCAAATAAGGCCCAAAAGAAGGCACGAGTAAGGCCCAAATAAGGCCCAAATGAAGGCACGAGTAAGGCCCAAATAAGGGCCAAATAAGGCCCAAATCCCCGTAAAGACAACGTGATAGAGCACACTTGCAAACGACGTTGCTCCTTGCTCTCTTTCGGTGCGGGTTTGAAGCCAGTGCCATCAGTTTGTGTAGCATGAGCTGAGGATTCATCCTGCTCACAGCGGAGGCTCGGATATCCATGTCGAATTGCCTTGCCTCGTGACCCTGCTATCCTTTCAGGCACGTGCGCGCAGTCGAAGATGAAGCAGATCCGGGGTTGCAACACGCCAGGCGCTTAGTGGCTTAGGGAGTTCATCAGCAGCCTGCTTTAAGGTTTCAGGCAAGTGGTAAAGTGCTAAACACCAGAATGTCACAGTTGTCTTCTGCTGAAAGGCAGTCGTGCCACTCCAATCAGAATGACTGCATCCTCTCGCCGTTCCAACCTCAGCGCAGTGCGTCAACCTTGAAGATATGTCAATGACCAACGCGGCTTGTGAGCGGTTTTGTCTCGGAGTCCTGTTTAGACGTTTCAGTAGCTCAGCAGCCAAACTTGCGCAGACGCGCGCAAAAAGGCACATCTTTCGCCGACACTCGACGAGTGAACGATTCGAGCGTTGAAGCGCTAGACTCGGACGACTTGTGAGCTCTTCGAAAGCCTTCCGAGCTCCGGGTTGCCCATCGGCTCCCTTACGTTGCCCCGTGCAGTCCGAGAGCAGCCAGAAATGTCTGTCCCCTGCGGCTGTGTAAACGCAACCCCTTCCCACAATCTGGGGTCTCGGCCAGTTCACCTGGATTCCGGTTTCTTGCACACTGCCCACAGCTTCCAACCACGCCTTATACACCAACGAAAAAGTCTTGTTACCATACCATGAGATGATCTGGCCGACGCATCATGCAGTGCGCAAACACCACCCTTTTTCCAGAGCCAGTGCAGGGTTGGCATGCTGCATCCATCATGCGAAACAGGTGTTCGCGATGACTACGAGACATGTTCGTAGCTGTTCTCAAGCATTCGCCTCAACATGCGAAAACCAATAAGTCCAGAATTTAAATAAATTGAATCTCTATTTGAGACCGGGTTCGGTTTTGACTCTTGGCCTACCTGCCTGTGTGCGCGGTTGTGCACTCAGCATTTAAATCACGATCTAGCTGTCTCGCTGCAGCGCAACGATGCGCAATCAGCGTTCAAGAAGGGGTCCAAGACGGCCCGATGCCGGGCAATTATTTCGGAATTAAGCTGTTGTTAACTGTTGGATTCACTGCCTTCCTCCGCCTCAAGGTGGCGCTCGTGGCGCGGCCGGCGTGATCTTACACTCAGCAGGGCGCGCTGTGCTATAAGCGACTGCAAGAATCATCAGCATGCCCGAAGGCTGGCCTAAGACACAGACTCTGCTAGTCTGCCAGTCTCTGCCCATGCCAGGAGTGCCTGCACAGCACAGTGTGAAGATGGCGTCAGGAAGCGTGAGCGCGAGGTTGGCAAGTCACGTTGGGAACCGGAAGTCAATTCGTTTTCGGGTAGGGCGGGTTTCGTGAGAAAACTTGTGCCCTAGCAGCCTGTGAGGTGCTGCAACGTGCCGGTGAGGGAGGTGCGATGCCAGCACAGAAAGCCAACATGACAACGCCTTTTCAAGCGCATGCATTGGTGTGTTGCAGGAATTAGGTCTCTTCTCACATCTGCACGGCTGAATCATTTGACTCTGGATTTGGACGAGCAAGTCCAAGCAAGGTCGAGGGTGCAGCGGCGTCATGATGCAAGTGGTATCCTGCACGCCTGGTCCTCATTCTCATGTGTACTCGTAGGAGAGAGCGTATGCTGAGAAGTCTCCAGCTTAACAAAGCAATCTCTTCGATGCGCACAGCAAAAACCTGCATAGACAACTCGTGTGCGAAGGGGACCCGGCTGCGGCGAACAAGACTGCCAGCTGCAGCCTCGGGGGGGAGACAGAAGCAGCAAAGGTAGTGACAAGTACGCCAGATGCTCTGCTTCATATCTCTAATACAAGAGGCCTGGGCTCTCTGAGGTGGGGACCGTGGGATTCGTGGAGTGGCTGCTCCTGCAGCTGTGGAGGCATTACATGGCAATACCATGGTCCTGCATTCTGACATGCTTTCCGAATCCGTTTCAGCATTCGCAAGTGCCAAAACTGCTTGTTTGAGTCTGCCCCGTGCTGGGTACGGGATTCAGGTGGGACGAAGCGGAGGAATCGACAGGTTCAGGCCGGACGGCCCAACATCCCGATATGTCATGTGCACGCCCGCTGCTTTTGCAGGTTTCCCCAAAAGGTGGAGGAGAACTCTGCGACCCAGTCGACAAGCCAGGGGGCCTTCAGAGAGACGGTTCAGTAGCTATGCAGATGCATGGCATCGCGTAGCACCCTCTCGTTCTATCGGTTACCGAGCCTGTTGTGCAGGTCTGAAGCAGCTCCGTGTAATCAGCACCGATGCTTCGAGCGCTGCACCGATGCCCGGTGGTCAGGCCTTGCATGGTGTGCACATATTCTAAAGAGATCCCCCTTCGATATCAGCCTATGGAATGGCTATGTTGACAAATCTATGAATTGGTTACGGTCATTTCATAGAGGGTCTAGCCCGGGCCATGTCACAGGAACTTGGCTTTGGAACATCATGCCATAAGATTGCTGATGCAGAGGTAGCCCGGGCCATTTCATAGTGATTCTGCGGGTCGGCGGCAGGGAGGTAGCCCGGGTCATTTTATAGGGCCAGGCAGTGTGGGATGCGCGCCATGAGTGGCGGCCCCCCCCTGAACCCAACAACATTAACCTGAACACCGGAACGTACATGGTAAAACCTATAGCGTAAGACCCTACACCTTGTTGCCTATAACCTGAACCTTTCGCCTACAAGCCCTTGATCCCGAAAAACTTAAAACTTAAAACCACGGCTCCAAGCTTGAGCTTACACAAAACCAAACCCGGAACCTTCAAACTTGAAGCATCAAACCCAAGCTTACCGCCAAAAAGGCCTAAAGTTAGCTTGATACGTGAGCCGTGGACGCAAAACCATGAACCCCGGAGCCGCCTAACAAAACTTAACCGTCGAATATAAACCTAAAACATCCTAAAACCTAAAAAGTTTAAAGCTTATACCGTAAGCCTGAACCCCAAAACCCAGCGCCCTCTAACTTGAAACGTACCGCAAAAAACAGCAAAACTTGAACCCTAAGACCTAAGCGTTAAACCATGTTAAACCCGAAAAGTCTAAAGCTTGACACGTGCGCCCTAAACCCCAAATCCTGAACCATAGAGTCGCAATGCGTAATGAAGCTTGAATTCGCATAAAACGTATACGTATTGCACCGCTGTGTTCGTCCTCGGAGCAGCGCCGGCTCCTGGGCATCTGGGCACCGGCGCTGGGTGTCGTGCCTTATCAACTTTATAGTGGGGGCCACAGTATGCGACACCCAGCGCCGGCGCCCAGATGCCCAGGGAGCCGGTGCTGCGCCGAGGACGAACAGAGCTGGGACTTCCGGGTGTAATGTTTGCGTTTCATTCGGACTCAGGCTTTCAAGTTTTAGGCCTTGCGGCTCTATTGTTTTATCTTTAGGTTTTTGTTTGCCATAGGCTTAACAGTAAGTTTGAGGGTTGAGGGTTTGGTGTTGGTTTTGGGGTTCAAGCTTGGGGGCTTTGGTTTTAAGTTTGATGGGGTTAAGGGCCTATTTAGCCTACTTGCGACAGGTTCAGGTTATAGGAGACAGTCTAGTTGGGACTTTGCGCTTTGAGTTTTCAAACATTTCAAACTTTGGGCTTTACCATGTACGTCCCGGGGCTCAGGTTTTCGATTTGGCTTGAAGCTCTACCGTGTACATTTCGTGGTTAAGGTTTGCTGAATGTCTCCTGTGTGGGATCCTGCTACGTGTTCTGCAGGTTGTTCGGGTGTTGATCACACTACGTTTCCTGCTCTTTTCTCTTGAGGGCTTCGGCCCTGACTCAGCCGTTTCTCAAACATGCGGGTTTCCGGCTTTTTCCCTGCAGAGATTTGTTCAAGACTACGGAGGTCTTACGCTGCCTGCGAGACTGTGTGCAACAGTTACTGTTCACCGCTCGCGAAAGCATTTGTTTTTCCTGGAATTTGTTTGATCCCACTGTTTCGGTTTTTCGCTTTCGGGCAAATACCATACTTAAACCCTGGCGAACATCCAAGACCGGAAGTTACCCAGGCCATTTCAATGCAATCTCTCGCGTTGCGCGGCGAAGGTTACCCGGGCCATTCTATAGGGATGCTTGGGTGTCGCTTGGCATCCACAGAGTCGTCCAGCTAATGTAGCCCGGACCATTTCATCGTCATCCCATGCCTGCGTCGGCGAAACCCCCCCGCGATCCCGATGTAGCGCATCCCATTTCATAGACCATTTTCTCTATAGAATGACTGAGCCAACTTGCCCCTGTATATTGCAGAGGGATCTAAAGAGAATAGAGTTACACGGACCCGCGTCCGCCAGAATGGAAGCAGTGGTCCGAATGTTCGGCTTCCTGTGGCTATGGCTTCAAGCCAAGCACTTACCTCGCCTGTCCCTGCATGCCAGCAACATGCCGCCGAAAAAATTTGCAATAGGCTGCTCCGTACCACAGCACGTGTTAATGTCCGACTCAGGTTTCGACATCGAAGCCATCAAGTGCCACTTGGCAGAAGCCTTCGCCAAGAGTGTTAGCGACAGAACAGGTGGTGAATTAAATATCAATTCTTCAAACAGTCACGGTTTTCTATGACTGCTAGTTAGCTCCATGTGTTGCTATGCACGTGGGCTGATAGTTCTCAAGACAGCTCAACCTCCTTTCAAGTGTCGACTGAGGCAGGCAAATTCCTGTGGCAGGCCAGCTACAGGCCTCGGCAGTGAAATGCAACGTCTAGTGTCTAGAGATTTGGTGGTTAATGACATTGACAAGTTTGGGCCAGCTCATGCCTGTGTCTGGTTGCAAGGACCGTGTGTCCGATGCTGATACCTGGCTCTGAGCCTGCCTTTGTTTAGCTATGATGCCTGCATCCCACCTCTATAGAAAGTACCTGCAGACTGGCTGCTCCCTTCAGTTGAATGATTCTGGACCTCACTGGGCTGTTTCAGGCCGTGGCCAGGAGTGGGACGTGTGTGAAGGCATGGCTGTAGGTGCATAACTGGCCAGGTCAGTGCTTTCATGCCAGTTCTTTCTCGTCTTCTCGTCTCAGCTCACCCGTGCAGGTTCTGGTGTTGGCAGTGCGGTATGCGGGGACCGGGATGGCCGGCTCTCTGCCTGGCCACTCTGCACTTTGACGGATAGTTTCGGATAGTTCCTGGCCATCACAGACCGTGTTTCTGCTGTCCTGCTCTGCTAGTCCTGCCTTGTGAGATGAAAGCTGCACTTGAGATCACCGTTCCGGTTTCCCCCACAGGCAACATCCGAACAATCGTGCCAGGAATGAATGGTCCGACTGCAGCTGCACTTGCTGACAGCTGAGTGTGTCGAACATGTCAGTTCATGCTGGGCATCACGGGACGGGAAATGTATTTGGGCCCGGAGTTAGATAAGCTGCACAAGTGCTGTCAAATGCCGACATTGAGGCTTCGGCATTCGTGAGCGGCAGAGGTGGCTGCTTTCGTTGTGTTTTAATTGCGCATGGTGGCCTGAGCGGCAGTAGGCGGCCGTCGCTGAGACCTGCAACGTTGACAGGATTGTGGAGCAATACCACTTCGGGAACGGAAAGTCAGCTGCTGATTTTGCTACATTCACTCCCTTTCCAAGTTCATATGGTCTCGAGTCCATGCTCAGTGCAGCCTGGCAGATGCTGCCACCACTGCTGCTGATAGTAGTTATGCTGAAAAATTAAGGAATTGCTATGTTCAGGCAACCTGTTTGTTTCACACTTTGTCAGTGGCTGTGTGGCTTGCAGCTTCTCGTTCTTTTGGCATTCAGCTTTGTTCATGCTCTTGGCCTAGCAGCTTTTGTTTCGTGTTGTGGTGGGCTCTCGGCTGACTCGGCTTCACGGGCCGTTCTGATTGTCGCCATAGATGTAGATTATAGAGCCCTCACACAATGCACAGCTAAAGTGACCAAGACGTTCCAAAAAACGGCATGTCAAAGCATTGTCTAAGAAGATAGAGCTACATGCAGCACGTAGTACTGTATAGCGAACTGAAAAGATGGAATCATGCCATGTTATACATTTGTGCAGTATGATGCAACAATGCAACATCTGTGTGTAATAGCACATGGGAGCACTTGTGCTGCCGTATTGTCACCATCGGGCATTTTCTGAGAATGTTGACCCTATCATGAAAATCACGTTGCAAAGCATTGTGTGCACGATGCAACTAAAGTGTGGAACGATATCGGCTGGCATACTACAACGACGCACAACGAAATGGAGCATGTATGTATGTCGAAATATGTCGTGTATATGTATATATATATATAGATGCAGACATGTGCTTGCCTTTCAGTGTGCTCATGCAAGGCAGCAACACACCACTGTTGTAATTCAGTCATGGGCAACGGGTGGGCGGGCGGGCGGGCGGTTGGGTGGGTGGGTGTATGTGCATGTGCGTGTGTGCGTGTGTGCGTGTGTGTGTGTGTGTGGGGAGGTTCTGTAGAGAAGTGATGTAGTGCAGATTTGTTTGTAAAATGAAGCTGTTGCACTCCTGTTTGAGAGTGTTAGGAGAGGGGGATATCTTACTCATGTCACATGTCGTTCGTTAGCATCCACTATTGGTCCAAACACATAAATTTCAGTGCGGTGGCGTAGAAAGGAAGTCGAGCACACCGTCGATGACGAGGATGTTGGCCTCCGTCATCTTGATTTGTAAGATTCACACCTATGTATACTGTAGTAAAGTCGAATGCCCTGCTTTATGTTCGCCTGTCTTAGTACTCCATGAGATGCCGCGTCATGTTAGATACAGACACATATTCACATGCAAGGCCAACAGAATAAACCAAGCAAGTTGCAAGGAAATGCCTATCCAGGTGGCAACATCAAGCAAACTATTATGTTAGGTGGCACGCTACGATATGATGGCTGCGTCGTCAAGAGTCAACTACAAGTACCTATTGTTCACCTACTTGTTCATGTTAAGTACTACTTCAACGGTATGCGTCTAGTACCTAACCTACACTGATCTGCACAGTTGCGTAGTACTGGAAGTGCCGGGGTCATGGTTCTGATTTTTCACGAATATCGTTGGTATCCGTGTTTAGCATTTGTCATTTACATACGATGTATCCAAAAGTTCGGTATGATAAGATAGCTTGTAGCTAACACTTGTCGAAGCCATCGTTGAATCCCAGTGGTTGTTCAACAATGGGGCTTGTAACTATGTGCGTTGGAACTGTAAACGAAAAACAAGAGTTTGCCTTGACTTAGTTAGCTTGTGGTTGGCACTTGTTCATGGATTGCCGTTCAGATAATATCCAAGCTAGATGTTATTATCACCTGCATGTTGCGATGGTTGACCATAAAACATTAACCAACAGTCAAAGTTAACTGCAAGTAAATGCGAACTATATGCAAAGGTTCAGTCACAGATCTTTGGTATGTCAACAATGCTGAGTTACTTACAAGGCTTAACGTAATCAGTGTTCACTAACTGCTCACTCAGTTTGATTTACTGATTGTCCGTGACATTTGAGACTGTATGTGATGCATCTCTTATGCAAGTTCACCCATATCGAAGCAGTACACGAAAATGGATTTTTGGGCATTGCATCTGACATGTGATGATTTCATTACCCCATAATCATGTCGTACTTATTTCTATCTGTTCTTAGTTTGGCTTTCCACAGGTGAGCCAGTACTGAACTGCTACTTGGCGCATGATAATCTGAGTGATAAGCCGGATTCTCTACAATTTCACGTGGATTACTCGGTTGCTCTTCACTACTGACATGATGAAAACAAACTCATAGTAGGTATTCAGAGCGAAATCCATCTGGACGCAACATTACGTGCATACTCACTCGATGTTTGGAAATAGCTTATACGTCGTAGGAAAACAGTTATTGGAGTGCAAGATATGTAGGTTTGATTAAATGTTATCCAAACAACTGAATGCCTAGCGGAGAGAGAGCCGCTGCCTTGCTTGACCTGTTGCACAATCCAAAATGGCCATAGAATCCACAGCATAAGCACATGGGGGGGACCATATTTGTATGAATGGTCTAGCCCTCCCACCCCCACGGCAACCGTGGTACAACCTGCAGCGCATAAATCACCCAACCATTCACCACGAGGCCAGCCCGAGCCGTTCCAGAAAAGATAATGGGGGACTGACCATGTGCAGGACCATTTGGGGGGGAGGAGGGGGAGGCCACCGGAGTGCAACAATATATGTATATCTGTATATGTATGTACGTACGTATGTATGTGTGTATGTATGTATGTGTACATATGCACACATGTGTATGTATATAAACGTATATATATATATAT